TCACTCGAACTTTTACCAGCAGTATATGATGGTGGTACCTACAAAAAGAAAATTTTATTCTTGTATGCTAGATTAAATTTGTGATACTGCCACAGAGAAATTTTTCTGATGACAACTAGATTAAATTTGTGATACTGCCACAGAAATTTTTCTGATGACGGACACTCTAAAGCCAATTTCCAAACAATTGAGTATAAGATTTGTATTTCTTTTGCCAGCTGTGATCTCATGTTGGATTGCACATCGTACAGAGATTGGGTTGTGTGTTCTAGTCTGGAGTTTGCAATGACTCATTATGTTGGCTTTGGTGAATAATTTAGTCTACACTGCACTGTAACTCGAAATAAGATATGCAATTTGAGCTATACAAATTGAGCATCTTATTTCAGTGCTATTTTGAAATACTTTATTTTGAAATTTGACAAAATAAGCTATTCCAAAATCTCCTTTACTCATCGGATGGGGTTTACAGGGATGTCGGAATAGTAAGCCTGAAATAACAGGCTTATGGTGAAGATGTGGGAAAGCTATTTTGGGATACTCCAGAATCCCAAAGTAGTGCTGTAGTATAGACATAGCCTTAATATGTCTGATCCTTAGTTTCCCCTCTATAAATTGGGAATAGTAACGTATACTTAAAGATCCACAACTGGGCACTATGTAAATGTGAATATTTCTTTAAGCTAAACAAATGCTTTGGTTAAAACAAGGCCATTTCCACAGAATCTCTCTCTTTTCAAGGGTGGGAATTTCTACCATCCTTAATTTATTGTAGAGACCTTAAAAAAACCCAGCAAATTGAGGATTGCATCACAGAGCCAACAGTAGCATCTCAGTCTTTCACAGCATGCTAGCACCTCTATACCTCAGAATCAAATAATCCACTCAGCACTTTGCTGGAAACATTGTGCGGTTTCAGTTCATGAAAAGATTTGCTAGCTTGACTTTTTAGTTGTAAAGTAGGTTGACCGTGCACGTTTCCAAAAGAAAAGATTGAATACGATTCTAAACAGATGCAGTTTTTTAGGAAGAAGGGTGTGCTACACTTTGGATAGGAAAATGGGCAGTGACTGAATTCATGCAGCCTAGAGTGTGGATTATGTATGTGCAGTTTTGGGTTCATATTTCAGAACCAACTTCTGAAATCTTACTATGCCTATAAACAGGGCTTGACAAGTGGCGGAGAGCCCTGCTCACCAGCCGTGCAGTTTGGCACACTGCGCATGCGCAGACCACACTGTGCATGCGCTGATTGCTTGCGCATGCGCAGACCGCACTGCGCATGCACTGATTGCTCTGCGGTGCCATGCCAGGCTAAAATCTACTCACCACAGGCAAACAGATTCCCCTAATTGTCGAGCCCTGCCTATAAGAAAGCTTATCCTGCAGGATGACAGTGACATCACATTTCTCTGGCATCCCAGTCCTCTCTCCCCTTTCCTGGCTGCCACACCATGCCTCCCTCCTCTTGTGTTTGGCAGCCAGGAGGAGAACACAGGGAATCCAAGGGCTGGGAGTGCCCCCCCCCCTTTTTCTTCCCTTGGCAGCTGGGGACACAGCAGGGCCTGACACAGCCTCAGCCAGGAGAGGGGCCGTTAAGGGTAAGCCATGTGCCTTGCAGCAAGATGTACCACCCTTGGTTTGGTTGAAACCTGCTGCCTTTTCATGTCCTTAAATCACCCTGCCTCTTGCAGTGTTATATGAAGGAGTAAATAACACATCCTTATTCACTTCTCCACATGTTTACAGACCTCTAGCATACTCTGCTTTTTTTAATGGCTTTCCTATGCTGTCACAGATGAGGCTACCCTAACCACTAGGCTCAAGGTTACATGGTAGGCCTCAGCCTCCTTCCCCTTTTAATTCTTTAATGGAGCATTCAAAGATAGGTGCCAAAAGCATTTCTCATGAGCTAAGTGGTTCCTGGCCAAGGATCACAAACTGTACCTGAGAGAGACAGATGCTGGCTCAGTTTCCTTTTCTGTGCCTGAGAAGAGATTTGAATAGTGCTCAAACTGTCATTTGAGTGTCCCAGTCGGGACTGTAAAGGATATGGTGGGTTCATTCCATGTTCATGGGGGGCATAAGGTTTGGGTGTGTGCTTAACATGAGGTTCAAATCTCCCTTGCTGGTTGAGGAGAGGGGATTTGAACCTTCATCTCTTACCTCTCAAGTGAATGGCCTAAGTGCTGGGCTAGACACTATTCTGACCTAGGGGGCCTCTTGTGCTTGTCTGCTGATGCTGTTCCACTTTCAGTACATATTCATTGGACCAAAACTCCAAAAAACAGCCCTGTGTAAAAAGCTAACTGGTTGGATATGTGCCCAGCAACTGGAAAGTTGGGTTCATGTCCCCTTCTTGCTTGTTGATCTCTTACCTCCCAGCCCAGCTCATAGGCCAGTCTCTTGAGAGGTATTCCAATGTGCTGGCTTCCTCCAGGTTTCCTTTTGAGGCTAGGCCACTGTCATTAAGTAGTCATTGAACCACAAGAATTGGATTACTCTCCCTCTCAAGCTTCTCGGTTAATGCTTTAGAATATACATATTTCCCTCCCCTAGCCAGTAAATATTTTAGCAGCCTTGCCAGCAGTCCTGTTCAGTTCTGGCTCATGCCGGGTCTGGGATCTATCCTGCTGCTGCTCTGCATTTAAAGTGTATTAGGAGCCAGGTAGGCAGGCAGCCTGGCTCAATTCCGGCTTGAACTAGGTCCAGGAGCTCACACCCTGGCTTAGATGGGCTGCTCCCACCTCACGCTGTTGCTTCTTTATCAGAGGCAGCAGCACTGGGTGACCGAGGCCAGTCCACAAGGGAAACTGGTTCCCCTCATGGACAAATTCCAGCCTGGCACCCTGTGCTGCTGCCCCTCTGATAGAGTGGCTGCCGCCCCCAGAGACTATAGAATAGTCGACCGATAAAAATTCATGAGTTTACATGACTATTCAATTCACTGATATTTAACATCCCTAGTTCAAATCCCCTTTATGGTGTCTGAGAAGGACTTGAACATTGATCTCTTCTCAAATGAATGGCCTAAGTACTGGCCTCTGCTGTTGATAGCAGTAAATGAGAATTGAGCCACTTAATCCTTGTGACTCCTGCAGTATGCATGTGCTTTGGGTACCTGCTGTAGAGCCCTGGAGGTGTTGGTTCAAAACCCTTGTTTGTTGAGGAAATGAATGGCAGTGAGAGCTATTACCTTCACATATTCCACTTTAACTATATATTAAATGGGGCACAGTAAGCTTTCAAAGCCCTTTGTGGTATTGGGGATAGGCTTCCCACATGGTATGTAAGTGCCCTTGGATCAAAATCCTGCTCTACCAGGCAGGAGGGCTATGTGTCTGACACACCAGAGCCCATATAGCTGATCAAGAGGCCTTTTGCCACCCTTCTTGCTCTTTTAATAAAGAGAAATTGCTACTGGATAGTAAAAACCCCCGCTCACTCTTGTCTATCATAATCAGTTCCAGATTATAGTTTGGTTGCTTCTAGAAATTACAGTTATCCACCCACTCACTGATCTTGGTTTTCTAAGTAAATGAAATATAAACTCCACAAAAGAATCACTGAACATTGGTCTTCAAAATTATATAAAGATCTATAAAATACAAAAACCAATATTTAAATGAGACATTATAAGCCCTTATTATGTAAGAGCATTTACACAGACTCACGTAAGCATTAAAATGTTGATGTACTTTGAGATTAGGGACTTGTGTACATTTGAAATGCAACAGTGGCACAGCTGTTGTGCTTTAGTGTGGATATGAGAGATTCTCTCATCAGGGGATGATCCCTCTCCTTAGGAGGTACTAGATAGCTTGACAGGCACATTTTCCTTTGCTTTAAGAGCACTTATGTGGGGTCAGCTTAACTATGTCACTCAGAGGTGTGGATTTGTCACATATCCCCACTGAACAACATAGCTGAGCCTGTTTCATTTTCTATTATAGACTAGCCCTAGGACATGAAGTATCTGTATTAGAATACTACACTGGCCGAAGGCTATAGTGTACACATTGCAGTAAGGGAAGGGGTTCTTCTGTCACTCAAGTATATCTAACGCCAAAATGTGGTAACTAGATGCCATAAAAACTGTTGCCACCATAGCCACATATGTGCTAACAAGAATTGAGCATTTTACTGTAGACAATTCTTTCCTACCTAGTGCATCTTAACACAAAAACTGTTGCCCTTGCTTTCCCCCCTCCTCTTCAAAACTGATCTTAATAAATTCAACCTTCTCTCATTGCAGACATTGTCAAGCTGTGGCTTTGCTTTCATATCTTACACTTCATTTCCCCTGGAAGCTGCATGCACACATACACCAGCCTACCACCTCATTAGCAATGGAAAGATTATTGGGCTGAAAACAATAGCCCACTCTCTGGCTGAAATTAGGCAACTTGGGCTGCTTTGAAGGCAGGTGTGGAACAAAGCTGCAGCATATAGTCTCTCAGTTTAGGACACCGCTACTAACTGTAGCAGACAGGAAAGATTTTTCACTACATCATCTGCACTGTAACTCTGCTAAACTGTCACATGCATGTACAGATAACTTTGTATGCACGGATACATGTATGTTATAGAAGTGGCACCACTTTCAGATGTCAAACCAAAACCATACCCAACACATATGCACAATCACAAATACAAAATATTTTCAAATATTACTGACAACAGCCCTATTAAGTAATACACTTGTGAGCAATTGCAGAACCTCTCAGTGTTAGCCCCCAAAAGGTACTAACATGGCCTACTACCATACGTACTTACCTATGCCAGCTCATGCCAGTGAAGCCCTTTTCCTTATCAAGTCAGCCTTTCCAAGAGCAGGATAAACGGTCGCAGTTGCATATGGCTACACTACCTACAATATCTTTATTGTACATTGCTTTTTCCTTGTGGAGAAGATCAAGTCCCTTATTTGAAAGACAGCAGCTGGTTACAGTTAAAACTCTTTTTACTGACACTTGTTTTGTTTCAATTTCCCTCTGCAGTGGCTAAAAAATCCAGGCCCACAGCATGAGAAACGGACTCTGTTTGGAGACATGGTGTGCTTCTTGTTCATAACGCCACTTGCAACCATCTCTGGCTGGTTATGTCTGCGAGGAGCAGTGGACCATCTGCACTTTAGTAGTAGGCTAGAAGCTGTTGGCCTCATTGCACTCACTGTCGCACTCTTTACTATTTACCTCTTTTGGACGCTAGTGAGTACTATTTATTTACCCTATCCGTAGGCGTCATCCTAAGTAAACTTTTCCTTAAAGGTACTTTAGTATTTGGTAATTAACTCAGAGTATCACGGAGACGGTGGGAGGGAACCAGTAAGCCAGAAGGGAGAAAAGATTAAGACATATGGCATAGCAGTGACCTGTCATTCAGGCTATGGGGAGGAGAAACGGAAGATTTAAGAAGGATCCTTGCATCCTTAAAATGGCTGCCACATGATAGTGGCATAAGCATTGTGTAATTTGATCTGACTGCTATGAGTGCAGATGATTTCAAAGTGCTGAGTTTCCACCTTCCTGCTTTTTGGTCCTGCTTTTTAAGGTCCCCGTGTAGACTTTTGGGGAATTTGCCATGAAATCTACACCTTACTGCAACAGGGACACGGCGCGGCGCGTCTGGGCTGTCCCACTGCCCGCGTGCTCCACGGCTTTGCTCCATGTCTCCCTGGTCTGCTGGGGGGGGCCTCCCCCCCAGCAGACCAGGGAGTGGGGAGCAGCTTTTCCCGCCCCGGAGGATGCGGGCGGCGGGACCGCGGCACATCTGGGTGTCCCGCCGCTCGTGTTCTCTGGGGCAAGAAAAGCAACAGGGAGCTCCAGAACCTAAGCCTTCCTGTACAGGCAGTCCCCGAGTTACGTGGCGCTACTGGACCAACCCGGCAGCACCCCAGCTGCTCTGCCCCCGGCTTCTTGGAATCAGCGGCTGAGAGCAGCTGGGGTGCTGCCGGGTTGGTCCCACAGCACTGAGGTGCGGCGCTGCGGGGACCTACCCGGCAGCGACCCAGCTGCTCTGACCCAGGCATCCAAATTCATCCGCTGTTGAAACTGATCAGCGGCTGATTCCAGGAAGCCCTGGGCAGAGCAACTCTGCCTCGGGCTTCCTGTAGTCAGCCGCTGGTCAGTTTTAGCAGCGGCTGAATCTGGACGCCAGTTCCGACTTGCATACAAATTCAACTTAAGAACAAACCTACAGTCCCTATCTTGTACATAACCCAGGGACTGCCTGTATATTAAAAAGCACCATTTTGAGCTTCTAGGGTTGTGATAATACACTTCCAAATGGAAGCAGAATGAAAAACTTTGGCTATGCTGGAAGTTGAGGTGCATGGCTGCACCAATATAAGCACCCCAGTGCAATGTACCCAAGCTCAGGATTTGGACCAATGTAGCAACACTAGTGCATGAGTTTCCAGTGCAGCCAACTGGCCCTAACACCACAATGTTGCATCACAACTGCAGGCAGCCTGAAGCAAGCAATACCTCTGGCCCAGGTGTGAACTGTTTCAATCATCATTGTAGTTTTGGCTCATGACTGCAGACCACTTTGGGAGCTTTCCCAAGAAAACACATGCAGTTCAGAAATTTTGCTTAAGCTTTCTCTCTGCTGCCCTTAGTGCTGTACCTGGCCCTAACACCACAATGTTGCATCACAACTGCAGGCAGCCTGAAGCAAGCAATACCTCTGGCCCAGGTGTGAACTGTTTCAATCATCATTGTAGTTTTGGCTCATGACTGCAGACCACTTTGGGAGCTTTCCCAAGAAAACACATGCAGTTCAGAAATTTTGCTTAAGCTTTCTCTCTGCTGCCCTTAGTGCTGTACCTTGCAGAAACTCACCCATTTAAACAAACTAGATTAGAAGTGGTTTTTGTATTTCATACTACTCCATAACACTTGTAGATTTCAAAGTGGTGTTTCTGTACTTTACATCCAGGTCATCCTGGAAGCCCAAATGGAGCCCTATTTGTTTCTTAATGTCAAGAAACATTAGTAGGGCCTGCAGCTCTGCAAAAGTAGTTTGGCTGAATAGTTAGATTTAATTATTCAGTGCATAGACTTGTCACAACTATTACAACAATTGCCTATTACAACAATTAACTACAGCTACTAAAAACCATTATCAATAACATTTGAAAATCACTTTTTTAAAAGGTTTCTCTGTTAGCAGTACAGAAAAAAAGTTTATCAATAACATTTGAAAATCACTTTTAAAAAAGGTTTCTCTGTTAGGAGTACAGAAAAAAAGCGGTGAGTGTCTTTCTTTCAAAGTCTGAGTAGATGATATGGTGATAAGCCAAATCTCTCTACAGAGTTAAATCAGTTTAGCAGAAATACAATACCTTCATTGCTCTGTGGCCCCTAGAAGCAGATGGAGAGGGGTGTGAGTGTTAGACAGCCACTTCTACTTTTACTCCAGGCAGCATGAAGTGAATGTTACAGCAATGTGTTCATGAGGGTCGAGAGCAGGAAGTATCTCATCTTTCAGAGCAGCAACCACTCCTGTTTAGGGGGAAGTTAATTGGACTGGCTAGAAGGAACCAAGCCAATGAGACTGGGATTCTCATTACAGCACTGCTGCGCAAAATGAGTCTGATCATGTTACTCAGGTGCTGTATGCCTCATTTTCCCCCTCATCTAAAATATGGTTGTAAAGTTTCTGTACCAGAAAAGTTACAAGACAAATATATTTGTAAAAGCTGGATGCTATACCTAGACAAAGGCACTATGTGCAAAGTATTTTACTTTATCAGCAAGACAGTAATTTCCTCTGGACAAGTCAAGCTTTTCAAAGCAATTTATGATTTTAAGATGCTTAATTTATACCACCTTAAAAAAAGCTCAAGTTTCAAGGAATCCTGGCCATTCAACTTCTCAAGATCAAGACCATCTCAAGTGAGAAGTTGGGCTACATAGAATCATAGAACTGGAAGAGACCTCAGGAGGTCAAAGTCCAGTTCCCTGTGTGAGGGGGTTCACTCACCACCGTAACCCCCCTGCCGTCTGTCCTCAGGAATTGGCGCCCTCGGCAGATAGGGTGCCTTCTCTGGGGTGGTGTCTCCCCTCTTTACTCCAGGCTGCGGCGTCCTCTTCGCCACACTGCCCTCCGGCAGTGCCCAAGTCTGTCTCTGAGCCCCCCTTCCAGGGGTCGATGTTCCTTCATCAGGCCTTCTTTCAAGCCCTGCAGTCTGAGGATTTGCTGGCCAGAGCTCCCCTAGCCCTGCCTGGCCTCCCCCAGCCCTGCCCTAGCTCCAGGGAGCCTCCTCCTCCTCCCTCAGCAGCCAGGTTCTCACTGCTTCCCTCACAGTAGCAGCCTTTCCTCTATTATAGCTCTCAGCTGGGCCCTAATGGACTAGTACAGCCTCAGCTGGGCTAAATTCCCCGGCCCTGGTTCAGGCCGGGGTCTGCCCTTAAAGGGCCAGTGCAGGGCGAGCACCCTGTCACACCCTGCCTAAAGCAGGACCAATCCCAACTAAATCATCCCAGCCAGGGCTTTGTCAAGCCAGGACTTAAACTTCTAGGGATGGCAATTCTACCACCACCCTTGGTAATCCATTCCAGTGATTCACCACTCTCCTAATGGTGAAGAATGTGACAATGCTCCAGATGAGGCCTCACCAGAGCCAATTAAAGGAGAATAATCATTTCCCTATATCTGCTGGCAATTCTCTTCCTAATGTACCCTAATATGCCATTAGCCTTCTTGGCTACAAGGGCACACCGTTGACACATCCAGCTTCTCATCAACTGTAAGCCCCAGGTCCTTTTCTGCCAAACTGCTACTTAGCCAGTTGGTCCCTAGCTTGTAACAGTGCTTAGGATTCTTCCATCCCAAGTGCAGGACTCCGTTTTTCCTTGTTGAACCTCATCAGATCACTTTTGGCCCAATCCTCCAATTTGTCTAGGTCACTCTGGAGCCATCCCCTCCAACATATCTACCTCTACCCCTAGATTAGTGTCATCTGCAAACTTGATGTAGATGCAATCCATCCCCTCATTTAGGTCATTAATAAAGATATTGAACAAAACCAGGCCTAGAATTGATCTTTGGGGTCCTCCGCTTGAAACCAGCTGCCAACCAGACTCACTACCTATTGAACTGGACAATCTAGCTAGCTTTCTATCCACCTTACAGTTCATTTATCCAATACAAACTTCCTTAACTTGCTGGCAAGAATTATGTGAGGTGAGACCATATCAAAAGCTCTGCTAAAGTCAATATCCATCCGCTTTCCCACATCCACAGAGTTAATTACCTTGTCACAGAAGGCAATCAGGATATTCAGGCATGACTTGCCCTTGGTGAATCCATGTTGACTGCTTCTGATCACTTTCCTCTCTTCCAAGTGAGAAAGGAATGGATTCCTTGAGAATCTCCTCCATGATTTTTCCAGGGTGAGGCGAGGCTGACCCGTCTGTAGTTCCCTGGATTGTACTTCCCTTTTTTAAAGATGGGCAGTACATTTGCCTTTTTCCAATTATCTGGGATCTCCCCCCCCCTCGCCCCCATCTCCACAAGTTTTCAAAGATAATAGCCAATGGCTCTGCAGTTGAATCTGCCAACTCCCTCAATACACAAATCTCTGGGACTCAGGGTATGTCTAACTTTTCTCAATAGTTCTTAACCAGTTCTTTCTGCCCACCTCCTTCCCCTACTGGGTTGCCTAGTTCAGTAGTCTGGGAGCTGACTGTCTGTAAGGGAAAAAAAAAAAAAAAAAGCATTGAGTACTCCAGCTTTTCCCTCATCATGTGTCACTCATACAGTAAGGGTCCCACACTTTCCCTGATCACCCTCTTATTGCTATCATGCCTGTAGAAACCTTTACCACCTTTCACATCTCTTGCTAGTAGCAATTCCAATTACACTTTGGCCTTCCTGATTTCACCCCTGCATGCTTGAGCAATATATTTATACTCCTCCCTAATCATCTGTCCAAGTTCCCACTTCTTGTAAGCTTCCTTTTTGTGTTTAAACTCACCAAGGATTTCACTGCTTGGCCAAGCTCATCACCTACTATATTTGCTTTTCTTACTGCGCATCAGGATTGTTTGTTCCTGTGCTTTTAAATAAGACGACTTAAAATACTGCCAGTTCTCCTGGACTCCTTTCCCCTTCTTGTTAGCATCCCAGGGGAATCTGACCATTAGTTCTGAGGGAGTCAAAAGTCTGCTTTCCTGAAGTTCAAGGAGTGTATTTTGCTGCTCTTCTTTCTTCCTTTCATTAGGATCCTGAAATCAACCAGCTCATGATCACGGTTTCCCAAGTTGCCACCCACATTTACTTCCCCTACCAGTTACTCCCTGTTTGTGAGCAGAAAGGTCAACCTCTACAAATTACCCCTGGTTGGTTCCTTCAGCACTTGTACCAGGAAGTTATCCCCAACATTCTCCAAAAACTTCCTGCATTGTATGGAAGACTAATACAGCAGTACACAACAGATATCAGGGTGATTAAAGTCCCCATTTGAACTAGGGCTTGTGATCTGGAAGCTTGTTAGTTGTCTGAAGAAAGCCTCATCTACCTCACCCACCTGATCTGATTGTCTATAGCCACAGCATCACCTCTGTTGCTCCTGCCTTTAAGCTTATCCCAAAGACTCAATAGGCTTTTTCTCTCTAAATACTGGAGCGCTAAGCAATCATACTGCTCTTACATACAGTGCAACTCTTCTACTTTTTCCTCCCACCTATTCTTCCTGAACAGTTTATATCCTTCCATGACAATGCTCCAGTCATGTGAATCATCCCACCAAGTCTCCTTTGTTCCAATAAAATCGTAGTTCTTTGACTATGCCAGGACTTCTAATTCTTCCTACTAGTTTCCCAGGCTTCTTGCGTTCATGTACAGACACCTCTGTACAGATTAGGTGTCCTCTGTTTCACCTTCCTCCTTGTGTTTCTTTCTGATATCCCACTTCCCCACTTCAGGGCTTAGGTCCCCATCCTCCAGCTAACCTAGTTTAAAACCCTCCTCGCTAGGTTTGCAAGCCTGCCTGCGAAGATGCTCTTCCCTCTGTTAGGTGGATCCCATTTTTTCCTAGCAATCCTTGTGCCCAGAACAGCATCCCATGGTAGAAGAAACCAAAGTCCTCTCTCCACCAGCAACTACGCATTTACTTCCAAAATTTGACAATCCCTACCTGGACCTTTTCCTTCCACATGGAAGATGGACAAGACCACCACTTGTGCCTCAAACTTCTTGAATTTTCTTCCCAGCACTAATCTACAAGTGATCTGCTCAAGGTCATTCTTGGCAGTGTCATTACATAAATTACATCACTTTTGAAAAAGTTTAGCCCTATTACTTTTTCTCTTTTTATAGAGTATTATGCACTTCTAAATGGCACTATTGCCAATTTTAACAGAATGAAAAGCACCATGAGTAGATCCATTCTAATCTGAAAAAATAAGAGAATCTGCACTGCTCTGTTACAGCTATGGAGGGAATATACTTTATCCTGCAGTGATAAAAGTATGTGCATCACAGTAATCATTCTTGAGGTTTTGAAAAAGTAAATTTCATTTTACTTTCAACAGATCAGTTGAATTTTCTCTATAATCCAAAACTGACATATGGGTTATTTACACACCACCATGATGGGGCCTCTCTTGGGCAGCCCATTTTGGGAGAGAGCTCTTATTTAAGAATAGGGTAAAATATCTTTCTTGCAAATTTAAGAGCCAGGGCCCCAAGAATTTAGTCATTTCTGTCACCTGTACACGCAAAATTCTCAAGTTCTTGAGTAGGAAAATCTGCATGTTAGGTCTGGAAGCTATTTAAACCAAGATTTTAGGGACAAATTCTGCTTTGACTTTACTCCCTGAGCAGTGCCTCTGACTTCTGTGGGATTGCACAGGATGTAGTAACTCAGAACATTATTTTAATCCTCCAATTTGCAAAATAATGTAATTGCTGTTTAAAAAGATTAAGAACAAAGGTCTATCTGAATGAGTTTACAAAACATGGACGTGAGCTTTTAAAGATGGATTCTCCAAATCCTTGATATCCAAGTCCACAGACAAAGCAGCTTAATATGCCAATGATGGTTGTAAAACATGCATTTTATGTAGCAAACCTCAGGAGTTTCATGTCTAATAAAATGGCTTCTCTGAGAAATGTAATGGTGAACAAACCTCATCGTTGCTGAAATTCACTAGCTAACTTCACTTAGAAACTGCCCTAAGGCAAGAACCCATTGTAAACAAGCTGTCAAGCTTAACTAGGATATCCTGTGAAAATGTCTTAAAACAAACTGTTCTAGCCTGGTTTAACAATGCAGCTATTCCCAAAAGGACTTGCTTGATGCTGTCGAGAATTAGAGCTAAGATCCAGATTGTCTAGATTTGTTCTATTTTCTGTCTAGAATTTATGGCCATTACTTTCAGCAAAACTTCTTTACCTCACTCCATTGTACCTTCTCCAGCTGTAAGCACACTCATCACTTTAAAGAACACATGTGTGTTCATGTTTACACTGAAAATGCACCTATAGGATGTGTCTCCAATGCAAAAAGGTGCATTTTTACGTAAGTGTAAAATCATAAAGGAGAGAAGGCAGAAAGTAGCTAGATGAAGTAAACAGAAATGGGGGATACAGGGTCAACCTTGACTAGCCATATCAAGATAAATGCTGTGTAAGCCTTCTCTCCACTAGGATTTTTGTATAGAAATAGCTAACTCGACAGCTTTGGAGACATAAGCATTTGCATCACTTAAGAGTGAGATTGTTTTTATCCCCCAAATCTTCCTGGCCATCAGCTATGGATGCTTACTTGCTGCTCCTACAGTAAATACTGAGTTTTCTTTGACAGTTCAGCAACCCACTGACTGACTGTACTGCAAGTTTTATGTAACCAAACAGCAATACCTTCCTACTGCCCCCACCCCAGACCAAGTGTGTCACTTCCAGATACGATGTCATTTCACTCCATGTCTCCTGTATAGCAGTGACCTACAGAGTCTGCATAAAATAAAACAGTGACAAATGACAAAACATCTGTTCATGCACAGGCAGTCCTCATCCCTGGCTCAAGGGATATTGTCATCTCTTCACAATGAAGTTACAATCAGTGTCTCAACTGACATTAAGCTACATGGGTTTTGTCCCAATCAACTCCACTTTCCTGTTGCTGAAAACTTGTGATGCAGTCTGTGCAAGAATTGGCTCTAGCCACTACTATTTTTATTCAACCATGAGGCTGGTAATACATGATCAGAAAGCTCAGGAAAAGGATACACAGGGATAAGTAGGGTATCACTGGAGGATTCAAGTGGTAACATTGAGATCTTTTTGTTGGCATGAGCGGACAGTGGAACTGAAAACAAACACACTAGGTTCAATTCATTACAGATAGAATGCTCATCCCAGGTTAAAATATTTATTCTTTGTTTCTTATATATTTAATTCTAGGATTTTTTAAAATTTATTTTTAATCTAGTCTCTCTTGATCTTTCCCCAGGTGTCATTTAGGTATCACTGTAGATTATACAATGAATGGCGTCGGACCAATCAAAGGGTGATACTCCTAATTCCAAAATCTGTCAGTTTACCTTCTAACCAGCAATCATTGCTGGGCCTTCATTCAGTCAAAAGGAACTCAAAGGAGACAATCGTTTGATACTGGCAGCTCTGCACTGGAGTTATGCACGAAATATACTAAAACCCATGGGCTCTGATTCCATCAAGAGCCTGGTACAGTGCTATTCCGATTTACAAACTCTGCAGAGGAAGAAATCACTGTTTTAATTGAAATCATGGATGCTGCAATCATATGCTATTTGCTAAGCTGCCAAACATGTTTATTTAGCAGATATTATATGGAATTCTACAAATTCATGTTAATGCAAGCCCTCCTTTTTTATTAATGTTTAAATATATTAAACTGATAATTAATGTAAAAAGTTTTAAGAGTGCTTTGTTTCTACAGTATTATTTCTGTAGGTATGTGGACAGGAAACAGAGCTGAATTTTTATTTTCCTGACTCAAAGAAGATGGCAGTACAAGAAGGAAATTGTGCTACATTTAATTTTATTTAAAGGGCATTTTATACTAGGGTTATTATGTTTTTAAGGTGAGTTTTACAAATGGGCATACTTTTTATCATCATACAAATCCATTAGAAAATATTCTCTTCAGTTTCTTGTTTGGTAGTAAATATCTGAGAGGTTTTTTTTCCCCTCAGAAGAAAAAAAATGCAAAATTTGAAAAATATTCTCTTCAGTTTCTTGTTTGGTAGTAAATATGAGAGGTTTTTTTCCCTCAGAAGAAAAAAAAATGCAAAATTTGAGGAAAAACAAGTATCTCTGATTATTGCAATAGTCTTCCTAGTCAACATATTTCATAAAGCAGTTTACTTCTTTTCCCCTCCCACCCCCCACTTTCCCCACCTCAGTTACAAGGTTATGTCCTTTTCATTTAGGAGGAGCAAATTAGCCCCAAATTCTGCACTAAAGTTACACTGGTGTAACTAAAGAGTGTTACCATTTATTTACCTCTGAACTAAATTTGGCCCTATTAATTTTGTAAGGGGAACTTTGCATGCATAATAAATTAGTAGATTAGACATTTCCTAGGAAGCCTAGACACGTCTCGCATAACAATTAGCATTACTGTTGAAATGCTGAATTTTCTGCTTGCCAGGTAAAGGCAGTGAGTATATAAACTCTCTCGTAGCATTGAGACTAAGACTCTATACGATATAGAATACTACATGCTATTATGACAACTTGAACCTGAATATTAAGTTGTACTTCTGGGTAGTATTTCCTGCTCTCAACCATCCCCTTTATTTTTATATTTAAACTTTTGATTAATTCACCAACTCAGATTATTAGCTCTCAAATTATGCAATAAGAAAAACCTATTAAATGCTTACAAGTTGCTAGCAAGCTAGTGGCAAGTAACTTATTTGTCATTTTAAAATAAAGATTTCTAGAACATGACAGAGGGTAATTCTAGAATCAGCTTTGTTTCTTACTCTGGAAGAACTGGTGTGTGTGATGGATCAAGCTGATGCAGATGTTGTCAGCCAAGACAGCTATTTAAATACAAAGTTCCAGGAGGGGGAAAAGAAAACCAACACACCCATGCTTTGTGCAGTCTCAGTTCTCATGTATTTGGAAGTATAATATTGTCAACGGGAAAATTTAACTCCAGTGATACAAGTAAAGATCCATGACCAATCAGGTCCAATAAGGGATTTTGCTGACCCAAAGGAGGTCATTTCTGGCTCCCTGCCCCACTGCACTTCCCAGTTCTCCTGGCAGCCCAGCTGGGTCAAGCACCAGGCGTCCTGTCCCCGCCACGGACTCCCAGCACTGCAGGTCCACATGCACCAGACTTCCCACATCCTGCCCTCACCCCCAAGTCCAGTTAGGCCACTGGCTCCCCCCCCCCACACACACACACACCGCCCCTGCAGTCCTGCCATACCATGGATGTTGCTGGACCAGAGTTCCAGTTTATAGAGGTATCTGCAACCTGTTTTAATATTCCATTTAGCAGTCAGCACCTCCAGGGGTATTACAACTACAGTCATCATTGCCTAATTTTCTGTAATCAAATACCAACTTTGTCTATCCATCACACTTTACCCTTCACAGAGAAACAAGATAACTCATCTGAAAGTCATTTTTGTTCTTCAGTCTACCTTTAATACTTTAGTGCAACAGCACAATTAAGGCTATGGCAACAGTAGTCCAATGGCACTAAAAAGGTGGGTTCCTATCATGCAGATATTTGTTTTGAACTTAACATGCAAGAGTGCAGTAGAGATCTTTGGAGGAGGAGGCTGGTGATTATATCCCACAGCCCAGTTAATGAATCCATGCCAATGACATACTTAAGCTTTCTACATGCACCAGAAGACCACATTCAAATGCCTTGCTCCCATTCACTCAGCAAGGCAGTAGGATGAGTGCTACTAGCACATGTCCACCTTCCTCTCTGGGCTCAAGTCCTGGCAGTCAGAAAAAAAATCTTACTGACCAGCTCTGCTTCCTCTTTCTCTAGGAGCAAGTTTTCTTTTCATACTGAATCTCTGTTTGGATTTATGTAAATTCAAACTTGATTTTTGTCTATCAATAAAAATTATTGAACAATAGCAACAAACTCAATTTTGTTTCTGAAGGGAGATAACATCTTTGGCACTAGCTACACTTTGCAAAACTAACGACAGCACAACAAGACTCCATGGTGCTATAACAGACCCAGTAAAGTAAAAAATAAACATTCCGTACAATAAGAAGAGTGGTTTTATTTTATTCAATGTACCTCATTCTTTCCTCTGGCTGGCACCAGCATAGTCCTCAAAAGCATTTTTCACTCACACCTGGAGTAGGGATGTTAAATATTGGTTAACTGAGTAGTCAATTAACCTCATGAATTCTTATTGGTTACTCAGCTATTCTATAGTCCCCGTGGGTGGGGCCGGCAGCCAGTGCACTCCGACCCCACTGCCAAGGAGCCCCCTGCCATTCCATGCAACTGTGACTGTATCAGAGGCAGCAGCGTGGACTGCCAGGTGGGAGCTGGTCCGTGACGGGAGCCACTTTAAAAACCAGCTCCCCTCAGACCAGCTGCCCTGTGCTGCTGCCTCTGATGCAAAGACAGCAGTGTGGGATGACAGCAGCCCCTATTCGGAGTGGGAGGGGGGTCTAAGCTGCTGTAACTGAGCTGGGTTGCCAGCCCACCTGGCTCCTAATACACTTTATATCCAGAGCTGCAGTGGGGGGATAGATCCTGGACCCAGAACATGAAGCCAGGACTAAGCGAGCTAATGCCCTGTGCTGCTGCCTCTGATGCAAAGACAGCAGTGTGGGATGACAGCAGCCCCTATTCGGAGTGGGAGGGGGGTCTAAGCTGCTGTAACTGAGCTGGGTTGCCAGCCCACCTGGCTCCTAATACACTTTATATCCAGAGCTGCAGTGGGGGGATAGATCCTGGACCCAGAACATGAAGCCAGGACTAAGCGAGCTAAAAATT